CTTAAGAATTGAAGTTAAAAGGAAGTTGTCTTAAATACATTGCACAGTTGTGAGAGTTGGCTATAGAGTGTTTGGCTCAGTTCTGCTAAGGTAGGTTATTAATGGGCATATAGCAAAGCTACTTTTCTAAAAAAACTTTTTAAGTACCTTTCTGGTCAGTGGAGGCTTGTATTTGAAAGCTTTCAGATGGAGATTCTGTCCAAGTAACTTAGGTCCTGAACTTCTTCAAGGCTGTCAGAGGCACTTGCTTTTATCTGTGGTTTATCTATGGAATTATGCATTAGTAGGGCTGATTTACTAGGCACCTAAAATTTAAGCAGAAATTATATGCTCAGTTTAGGCAGACTGAATCCCATTCAGTGCACCTTGGGGAGTTGCACAGTATTAATTAAAATATTTTCCCCTGGATCTGGTGCAAAAGGCAAAAGGCATCTACCTTTTCCAAAGTGAATTGTCTTATAACATGTACAGTAAAGTTGATCTGAAAAGCAAAGGAAAATTTTATGTTACACTGAATTAGTGCTCACTATTAACATGATAGTAGTCTTATAAAGGATTTTTTTCTTTCAAGAAAACTTTATAAATGGTATTTCTCTTTTAAGAAACAATTGCACTTAAACCATAAAACTCATGTATTTTCTCCTTTTTTTGTGAGTACAATATCTGTTATGCTTTTGAATGCTAAATTGCTCAGTGTTGGTTCTGCTTGCACCATTATTGCACCTGTCCTGCTAACAAAAAATTTACCACTGTATATGAGCTGCCTATTTGGAATTTAGCAATTGTTTTCAGACAGCATGTGTATTTGTTCGTTATGTCAGCTGAATAACTGAGCTGGCTGAATGCTGTGTCAGCATGCTAAGTCTCTCTTCCATGTCTGTAATTCTCCAGCTCTGAGCATCCTTGAATGTTAGCTGTTGACCTTATAAAGTCTTTCCCTCTGACTCCACAAACAGTAGTATGACTACTGGAACAATGTGCTGGCAAGGGTAATAATGACTTGAAACACTTTGAGGTTAAAAGCAAACATCTAAATGCATTTGTCCAAATGACAAAGATGAGCCACAGCTGATGAAGTCTCACGCACACCTGCAGTAACTGGTACAGGAACAGACACCTTTTCTGTTTTCTGAATGTTTTTTCCCAAAATTTTTGTTCTTTAAGGAACAGAAATTGGTGACTAGTATTTAAATAGACTGCAGGAAGTGGGGAAAGAGGGTATCAGATTTCCTTATGTACAGTAAAGAGTTTTTGTGACACCCATCCCCAAATCTCTAAGCATTTTTCATGAGATTTACACTGCTGTAATGGTCAAATGGATTATAAAAGCAGAAGAGGGAAAATTAATTATTGTCGTATTTTTGGTGGGCAGAGTAGTCATTTAGAACTACAGAGGGATTCCCTTGTTCTGTTGACAGCAGCCTGGGTATTTGGGTGAATCCTGTGCTCGTCCTAGGTTCCTAGCTTGGAGCTAACTAACGCATGCTGCACATCATTGTGTATCACTTTAAGGAAGAATTCTCTCTGGGAAGGACAGTAGAGAATGGGAGTTTTGATAACTAGAAAGTAGAGGAGGTTGATATGAATTAATCCAAGACTGCTCTGTTTCATTTTTTTCTTAGCTATAGAAAGCGGTGGATGGACTTTGACCAGACATAGGTTCTCTAGAAGAATTTTATTCCACTAGCATGAAAAACTCAAGCATGGCTTTTGGCATACTGAGCTTCCAGGACAGTGCTTCTCTAGCCCCTTGGTTCCTGGCCATTAAAAATCATTCAATTTAAAAAGCGTGCCACTAAAACATCATAACATTAATAACAGAGGCAAGCCAGTCATATACTATCAGACCTTTCACTGTGATTATGAAAGATTTAATGCTGACAAAAGCTTAGAGACAGCGTGCAACTGAACAGCCCAGTGAGCCTTGATGGGAAAGGGAGTGGCATATTATTAGGCAAGCCTAAGAAGCAATGCAAAATATCAGTGTAGCAATTCTTGCTGTTCAAAGCCTTGGTCCATACCAGACCACATGTAAGTTGTAGAAGAATAGATAGAAAAGGATGCTGGCAATTTGGGAGGGCATTGCAACTATTCTCCATTGTTTAAATATAGGAAGAGATATTTCAAAAGTCCCCAAAGAGAATCAGACTTGGACTGAGTCTTTGGTAACTTCCACAATACAACTGGCCACTGGTAACGAGAAGAACTCATTAAAAAGTGTGTATATTTAAATGGAGAAATGAGAATGGTTTTTACCAACAATGGGTCTTGCCTCTGCAGCCTTCACAGTTAGCTGCCACACACCAGCTCTCACTATGCTGCATTTGTAGTGGTATTTTCTTGGTTGATCGGTAGCCAAATGCCTCAGCTGCTTATACAAATGGTTCTGAACTAATCAATGAGATTTTCTAGACACAAACAGTTAACATTTCAAGAGGCAATTGCAGACAAAATTGCTATGTCAGATTTCACGGTGAAGAGACCTATTGCCCTTGTTCAGGAAATTCTGTGCCTGGAAAGTTTTCAGACCTTCCCATTTCAATCATCTGAAAAATTCTGCTTTCAGATCAACTTTGAAATGTTCAGAGTCACTGCATGCCAGTCTTTTTGATATTGCTTTTCTAGTTTGGAAGAATCAAGGACGAAGCAGGATGGTTTCTACCCCCTGGCAAGCCTCAGGAGGAGGGTTAATGCTACCAACTGTGCTCTGGTTCTTCAACTGTTCTAATGTGTAGAACTGAATATTAGGGTAATAGGTCATTACTATCATTCAGGTCCTTCTGAGAAACTTCTTGCTGGATGCTGTATTTACACAAGCGTGTTCACAGGTGCATGGATTTATTTTTCCTGCT